TTTTTTTCATTTTTCTCTCTCTTTTTTTTTTTTTTTTCCTTCTCTCAATTTCACCTCACACTACCTACCTACCACTACTCCTTTTTTTTTTTTTTTTTTGTAGGCATACAGGGAACCCCGTTGGGCTTTTCCCGGATTCTCACACACAGTGGGACATTTGCCCGATTTGGCAACCGTAGATCAACTAGGGTAGCCGACGGTCATGCCACCACGTTCCCGAAAAGGAAGGAGGGATCGACGACCGGGAACGAAGTATATGGCTGGGCGGGACTTTGGGACCGTCAGGCGGGGCGTCGATCGCGGCATGATTTTTCGATCTTTTTGGTTTTCGATTTTTTTGTGTTTCCCTCGGTCCCTACCTTCCTCCCCCGAATACAACGTACGGTCATTATAGCCGTGAGCATCTTCCAGTCTAGATACAGCTATAATGACCGTACGTTGTATTCGGGGGAGGAAGGGTAGGTATCCCAAAAAGAAAACAAAAACAAAAAAAAGGACAGAGTTAGGTAATATCGGTGCATCGGGGGCTAAGCTTGAGAACGGACATCCGATTTTTTTTATTTTATTTTTTTCAAAAACGGACATCCGATTTGAAGTCAGTGTGGTGTGGAAGGGTTGAGAACGGGGGCAGAGGAGGGGTAGGGGGAGGGGGATAGGTGATGGGAAATGGGAAATGGGAATACAGAGGCGGGGGAGGGACACATAGGGAATCCAGCCCAGAATTTGATTCGAGGACGCTGTGTCCGAGGCGATGCACTGTGCGTCAAAAGTCGTCGCCCTGTTCTGAGTGCGCGTACCCGGCCGTTTATGCGAGCAGATACATGATCCCACGAGAGCTATTGCGCTGGCTTCCCTTCCTTCCATCCCGACGACGGCTGACGAGGCAGGAGACACACCACAGGACGTGGCGCGCGCGAGCGCGCGGTGTGAGAGAGAGAGAGAGAGAGGCACAGTGTGCAGCGCGGTGTAAATACGGAGGGTGTGGCTCCAGCACTCACCAAACAAATGTGCAAATTGAGAACGAATCTTCTGCTAGAACATGGAAAGATACACCGCCATGATTTGTCTTTTGTGCGTGAGGCCCGGACATGGCAAATCGAAGGAAGCACACGCACACAGAAGAATGGCGACCACCTTTTCCTCCCAATTCTCCACACCGTCTGCGTGGCAGATGGCATCAATCATCATTTACCAACTAAGGGCCTCGCCATACCACTCTCGAAATGTGAAAACGACAAAAATGTGTCTTGTGCATCTGGCCATGTTCTAGCGGGAAGTTCATTCTCATTTTGCACATTTCGAGAGTGGTGTGGCGATGCCCTAACAGGGAGGGGGGGGGGGGGGTTGCCTGCCTCTGGGGAATTTTTTTTTTTTTTTTTTTTTCTTTTTTTTACGTGTTTTTTTTTTTTTTTTTTTTTTCTCCTCTGGGGAATTCTTGCGGCTTCATGTTGAGATTGTGATCGTGGCCTTTCAGTTTTTAAAGAAGTTTGCAAAGATACCCCCGTATGTTGAGTTGAATGGCAAAATGCCCCTGAAAGTTGTGGGTAGAGCGGAATGCCCTTCGGGTTTCGGCCCTTGCCCAAATTTGCAATCTGGACCTACCGTTTAGCCCCGAACACAAAGCACCCTATTCAAGCTATCTTTCGGGTCCTGTGAGGGCAAAATGAGGGTGCGTTGTGTTTGTGTGAAGACGGCAGCCATTTGGGCCTGGCATTTTGCGATTGGGCCTTCGAAAAGTTGGCAAGTAACGGTAGTGGCATTTTGTAATGATGGACGATACCCTGCAGGCGTATATTGCAAATACTGGAATTCCGAACGACGGCAGGGGTATTTTCAAAACGTGTTTTTTTGTCAGAGGGCATTCCGCTCTGTCCCCATCTCTTAGGGAAGGAGATTTTAGCATATATCTCAACCTATGCTTTTGTGGTTTTTCTTTCTTTTTACTGATCGTGTCTTTATGCCTCGCTGCACTAATCTTGAAATGCACAAAAGACAGAAATCATGGCCGTGTATCTTTCCATATTCTAGCAGACGATTCACTCTCGTTTTACACATTGCGAGAGTAGTGCAGCCAGGCCCTTTCGTGTCTTGTTCCTCCTATGGGTCTCGTTGCCATAGACCGAACGATAAATCGAGAAATGGTCCAAAACAAAACAAAACAAAAAAAAAGTCACAGACCGTTTGTCTGCCCGTTTACCTGCACGCCTGTTGGTCTTCTTGTGGCTGTTGTGTCCGTGCCTGTGGAGTAGTTTGAGGGCCTCGCTCCACTACTCTCCACGTGCACAAAAGACAAAAATGATGGCGGTGCATCTTTCCATGTTCTACTCTCGTTTTTTTTTTTTTTTTTCTTTAATTTGGACCATGTCTCGATTTATCCGTGTCATCCTTGCGCAGGGGCCATGCTAATCTTCTCTGTATCGTGCCAATTTTAAAGGACGTCCCTCGTTTTGCACATGTCGAGAGTAGAGTGGTGGAGCGAGGACCTGAACGTACGTGTTTGTGTGCTTTTGCCTGCCTGCGTGAAGAGCACCAGCTTCACGTCGCACATGCCATTGCTTCAAGTTGTTACTGTATTCAGCCCATCCATCCAACGGTTCTCTTCAATCCTCTGTGTAAGCAAGTGGAGCGCCAGCCTCAGTCGCACACGCCATCGGAAGCCGCCACTCCCACCCGTTCTGCCACACAGAGAACTGCTGTTGGCACTTTCTCTCGAGAGAGAGATCATTGCGTGGATCGTCTCCCTCTTGACATAGCTGCGACGGGTAAACCAACACACACACACACACACACGTCGAGAGAGAGAGAGAGAGAGAGAGAGAGAGAGAGAGAGAGAGAGAGAGAGAGAGAGTCTCCTCGTTTCCACATCTCCTCTCGCTTAGCGGTCTACGTGTGATATGAGGAGGGCAGTACTACTTGTGGATGTTAGTTCCCTCGCGATCTCTTGATAACGAGGAGAGGGAGAGGGAGAAAGAGCACACACACACACACACACACACCCCGAGCGAGCGAGCGAGAGAGAGAGAGAGAGAGAGAGAGAGAGAGAGAGAGAGAGAGAGAGAGAGAGAGAGAGAGAGAGAGAGAGAGAGAGAGTGAGTGAGAGTGTGTCCTCGTTTCCATATCTCCTCACGCGTAGCGGTCTACGTGTGATAATGAGGAGGGCAGTACTGCTTGTGGATGTTAGTTCCCTCGCGATCTCTTGATAACGAGGAGAGGGAGAGGGAGAAAGAGCACACACACACACACACACACACACACCCCGAGAGAGAGAGAGAGAGAGAGAGAGAGANGAGAGAGAGAGAGAGAGAGAGAGAGAGAGAGAGAGAGAGAGAGAGAGAGAGAGTGAGTGAGAGTGTGTGTCCTCGTTTCCATATCTCCTCACGCTTAGCGGTCTACGTGTGATAATGAGGAGGGCAGTACTGCTTGTGGATGTTAGGTCCCTCGCGATCTCTTGATAACGAGGAGGAGGGAATCTGCTCCCCTTAACCGCTGTTTAGTAGATTCGGAGTGCATATTCAGCGCCCTCGCGATCTCTTGATAACGAGGAGGAGGGAATCTGCTCCCCTTAACCGCTGTTTAGTAGATTCGGAGTGCATATTCAGCGCACGAGTTCGGGGCCGCAGTGGTCCCTTCCGGTTTTCGTGCTGCATTTGCCCCTTTTTTTATTTCAAGTACATGGAGAAAAGTCCTGCTGTGAGTGTCTCCTCACTGCGGAGATTGTGAGCCCGAAGTTGACTTCAGGTCAAGATTGAAGCCCGAAGAGCTGGCTTAAGGTTGGTACACATCCAAACTCAAGTGGAAACGGTCGAGATTCCAAGTGCAGGATCCGATTATACGATCTAGATTCAAGTACCGGATCAGAGTGTGTGAATGGTTTCACATTCAGGACCGGAACCAATGTATCGAGTCCAAAGTCTGATCCAGGTTCAGAATTTCCGTCCCAACAACTAGAATCCTCCCATGTTTGGGGTTTGGGGGCCGTTCTGCGTCTCGGAACTTGTTCTTGTTCTTCTTCTTCTTTTTTTTCTTTTTTTCTTTTTTTTCCCCCGACTCTCGGATTTTGCCCTCGATCTTGGGAGGTTCATGCCTCCTGCAGTTTTCTTACCGTTTGCGTCTCTCTCTCTCTCTCTCTCTCTCTCTCTTTACTTCATTGTATTAGCAGTTGTCCCCACGTGATAATCGACCCGCCTTCTATGTATGTAGCGGGGTAGAGACACGTGTCAGGCTCAAGGCTCTCAACGGAAGGGGAGAGCTCTGCTGTTTGAGGAAGGTCGGGTTGGATGAGATCTGATTGGGATCGCAATCGATCCAGACTCGTTAATTTCATCCCGACTCGTTAATTGCTTGCTTGATTGATACACTTGATGGATTCGATCTCCTGTTCATCTTCTTCTTCTTTTTTTTTCTTTTTTTTTTTTCAAATCTTTCGAGGGGCGCTGCACATGAAGATGATTTGGATGTCTATTCGATGATCAATGTCCGCTTGATTTGTTCATTGATTGGAATTTTTTTCTTTTCTTTCGATTGAGTGCTTTATTGCACAGAAGGAATCCGTATCACCATCCATCCAAGCTGCAAGCGTATTTGGCCAGAAATCCGGCGTTGTGCGGAATTTATTTGGCCGGATCTCCGCATTTCACACGGTACGACAGAAAAGAGGGAGATCGACATCCGTCTTGGGACTCTTGGCCGTTTCACACGGTCTATAGCCACACCAGAACAGGGGCCGAATGAGAGAGAGAGAGAGAGAGAGAGAGAGAGAGAGAGAGAGAGAGAGAGAGAGAGAGAGAGAGAGAGAGAGGTGAAAATCGAGGGCATAAGTAGGAAAAGGAAAAAAGCTAACGCTTCGTTTCTGTCCAATCAGTTTTCCAATTGAGCGAGATCCCAACTTACACGAGTGGGAAAATTTTAAAAAAGGAAAAGAAAACCAGAAAAAAAGAGATAAGCATCACACTTGCGGCCTCTTGTTTCCCGTTGTGCGAGTCCTCAGGACACCACAACGACGGAGTCCGTTTGTGCTCTCTCTCTCTCTCTCTCTCTCCCCGATCCCTTGCAGAAGTGCGGTTTCGCTCACTCACTGATCCTTTTCCAATCCCTTCATCGATCCGCCATCGACCTTCCAGCGATCAGATCACTGAAGTTGTGCAATCGCAGTAATTAGCAAATCAACGAAAAGAAACAACAGAGAGAGAGAGAGAGAGAGAGAGAGAGAGAGAGAGAGAGAGAGAGAGAGAGAGAGNAGAGAGAGAGAGAGAGAGAGAGAGAGAGAGAGAGAGAGAGAGAGAGAGAGAGAGAGAGAGAGAGAGAGAGAGAGAGAGTCATAGCAACAAGCATCGTGCAGGGATATGGTGAAGAAGCTTGTATTAATTCTGAATGTGCGACTTGCGTCCTGTCAGTCGTTCTTGTACATCCCGCAAGGGCAGTCGGCAGAGCAATGTGGATCCCGACGTGCATGGCTCGCATCTCTGTGAGCAGCGTCTAGGGGAATCTTATAGTAAGTTGTTGTCGATTCTCAGTAGCAGCAATCCATCCCCTCCTCCTCCTCCTCCTCCTCCTGGTGTTCACCTTCCTCCTCTTCCTCCTCCTCCTCCTCCCCCTCCTCCTCCTCCTCCTCTGCTTCCTTTTCCTCTGCTTCCTCATTGTTGTGGGCGTTCGCCTTTTCCGTCGATCGTCGAGGATGTCGGAAATGGAAAGGGGAGGAGAATTTCGAGCAGATGGGAGGGAATAGAAGAGTTCCCTGATTCTATCTTGGGTCCTTGGTTCATCATTGTCGTTCTTATTGTCCTTGTGGTCGCCAGGCACCTTCGCCTCCTCCTCTTCTTCCTTCTCCTCCTCCTCCTCCTCCTCCTCCTCCTTGTCGCGGTGGTCAGCATCTGCTGTCTCACGATTCTGTTGGTTGTGATCGTCGTCGAGAGGAGGGCCGAGCAGGTGATTGGCGCGGGAACCAGGCGGGCGGATTCGTACGGTGGAGGTGGGGAGGAGCGGCGGAGGACGCGCGGAACCGAGTGTGAAGCAGCGCATGTGCCGGTTTCCGCGATCGGGGAGTCTCCACTTTTTTCCCGTGAGCCAGATCTCGTCGGGCAGAAGGCAGCAAAAGACGCGGGGAGCCGAGAGGAAACGACCGCAAGCGCGCGCTGTGGCGCTCGCGGGACTAAGGCAGCGTGCCAAAGGAGCAGCAGCAGGAGGAGGAGGAGGAGGAGGAGGAGGAGGAGGTGGTGGGGTTGGTGGAAGACGAACAAGAGGAAGAACAAGACTAAGATGCACTTTATGAGAATGCTCCGACGAAGTCGCGCTCTGTGTGGGGATCCGTTCTTCGGCGCGAACGACTCTTTCAGCCTCCCTCAGACCAATTGGGCGGACAACGATTACGACGATGGCTCGGCCGATGACGACAGCAGCATTTTTTCTGTACAAGAGAGGAGGGAGGGGGGTATTCGAACAGCAGCAGCACGAGTAAGAGGAGGAGGAGGGGGGGGGGAGGGAGTAGGAGACGGGGTTGCTGCTCCTGCTGCTGATGTAGAGGGAGGACGGAAAGGGGCGTGGTTCTTCCATAATCGCGGGCGGCAATTCGAGGACGAAGACGCGGCGGCGGCGATCTGGCCACCGCGGGGCTCGCAGCTTAGCGCGGAGGAGCAGACAAAGGTAGGGGAGTGGTATTTGAGAGGAGATAAGGGTCTGCCGAAGAGCTTTGATCAAGCCGCACAATGGCTCCAACTAGCGAGTCGAAGCGGGAGTCCGCAAGCACAGTTTGTACTAGCCCACCTCTATTTCGAGGGATTGGGGGTGATGCGGCGGGACGTGAAGAGGGCAGTGGAGATGCTGAAGAAGGCGGCTGCGCGGGGCCACGTGCGGGCTCGATACGAGGTGGGGAAGTGTTACGCGGAAGGGGTGGGGATGTCGCGGAGGAGCGAGGCGAAGGCAGCGGAATGCTTCGCCTGGTGCGCGGCCAAGGGCTTGGACGTCGCGCAGTTCGATCTCGCGCGCTGCTACGAGAGAGGGAGGGGAGTTGTGTGCGACAAACGACTGGCCTTTGATTGGTACGTAAAGGCGGCCGATCAGGGCCACGTGGCAGCCATCTACGCGGTGTCGAAGTTCTACGAGCATGAACAGGGATGGGGAGTGGTGGATACCGATCGGAGGCGAGCGGTGAAGTTATGCCGCACAGCGGCGGAAGCGGGACTGGCGGCGGCGCAGCACCGACTTGGGGAGTACTACGAGACCGATCCCGAGGTCGACGACGAATGGTGGGGGACCACCATGGCTATGGCGCAGGCGGTGAAGTGGTACACGCTGGCCGCTGAGCAGGGCTTTCCCCTTGCTCTCTACAAGTTGGGCATTTGCTACGAGAACGGCTACGGAGTCCTGAGAGACTTCCACCGCGCCGTCGATCTGTATCTTAAGGCCGCCGAGGGCGGACTATCGCACGCCATGTTCGACCTGGGGGTGCTGTACGACTCCGGTACAGGAGTCGAGGTCGATCTCGTTAAGGCTGCCTACTGGTACAAGAAGGCGGCGGAGACCGGGGGGTTGAGTTCCGCCTACTACAATCTCGGGGTCTGTTATTGGAAAGGGGAGGGGGTGCGTCGGGACGAGGCGCAGGCAGTCAGGTGGTACAAGAAGGCGGCAGCCTTGAGCGATGCGACCGCGCAGTTCAGTTTGGGCGCGTGCTACAGGGAGGGGAAGGGGGTAAAGAAGGACATGAAGATGGCATTTGCTTGGTATCTGAAGTCGGCGGAACAAGGTCTGGCGATGGCGGAGTACGACGTCGGGCTGTGCTATGACCAAGGAATAGGTGTAGAGCAGGACATGCCCAAGGCGGTGGAATGGTACACGAGAGCGGCTGAGCAAGACGAGCCTCGGGCGCAGAACAACCTAGGCTTCTGCTATGAGAAAGGACACGGTGGACTCCGACGAGACCTTCGGACGGCCAAGATGTGGTATGCCAAAGCTGCCGCTCTTGGCAATCCGACGGCAGCGAACAATCTTCGCATCTTGCAGAGGATCGAGGAGGAGGAGAAGGCTGCCATTCCTGGAGGCAGCGAAGGAGAGACGGCCGCCATAGCTGAGCAAGCTCGTGTTGACGAGGAGGGGAAGGACGAGGATGAGGAGGGAAGAGGACGGACAGTCGATAGGAGAAGGAGGAGAGGAAGGGGAGAGGGAGGGGCTCCTCATGGGAATATGACATGTAGTAGTAGGACCCTTGCCAACCACGATCGTCGCTTACTCCCGCTTGGGCAGGAGAAGGCCGCCATAGCTGAGCAAGCTCGTGTTGATGGTGATGGAAGAATTGATAGGGAAGAAGAAGAGGAAGAAGTAGAAGAGAGGGAGGAGGAGGAGGAGGAGGAGGAGGAGGAGGAGGAGGAGGAGGAGGAGGAGGAAGACGAAGAGAGGTATGGACTGGAGAAGGAGAATGGAAGGATGGAGAGAGAGAACAGGGGTATCGCCTCCCTCTCCCAATCGTGCTGCCATTGCTCCCACTCTCCCTCATCTTCGAGAAGGAATTCTGTGAGATCGTCGGCTTCGTCGTTGTTGTGGAGTTCGCCGCAGAATTCCTTTTCGAAGGAGGTGGCCAGATATTCCTCAGAAGTCGCTCCGTTAGGTTCCCGTTAGGTAACCTCATGGTGACTTGGCTGGCAGCTTGTTGCAACAACGTGTACCATGTTCGGTTCGCCGTTTGTTCCCGTTAGTAAGGAGGCATTGCAAATATTTCGTTTGCTAGGACTTTTGGCGTTCTACACCTTGTTCATTAAAATAATGTAATCGCTGAGAGCTTGATTGCAACAAATGCGGTCAATTAATGGCAGGAAGAAGCGCAGGGGGGGATGGAGGG